AATGGCTTATGAAGGAGGTGACAAAAACAGATACACAGAAAGAAACATTAGAGAAAGACTAAAAGAATATAAAAGTAAAACAGACAGAAAGGGAGGAAAAAAACACAAAGACATATTGACTGACCAGGCATAATGCATGATGTTGAGGGCCAGCTGGGGCCATCGTGGCAGTAAGCCATCCCACCTCTGACTGTCATCTACTCTGACATTCTGGCTAAGCTGGATCTCATTAGGATGAGGGTGACTTTGATCCTGTCAGCAGTGATGTGACTCCCTCTATATAGGTTGCCTTCAAAGTAAACTGCTGTATCATTGTATCTTTCATAACTATCTATATCGTTATCTGTATATCTGTAGTCCTTTTTTCTCTTAATTGACTGACATCCCTCAAGAACCTGAATATTAAAGGGTTAGTTCACCCAAAAATGAAAATTCTGTCAGTATTTACTCACCCTCATGTTGTTCCAACCCCGTAAGACCTTCGTTCATCTTCGGAAAACGAATTAAGATATTTAAGATATTAAAATCGCTCCTGCATACAGTCCATAGGCTTCTTGAGGGACTGGCTCTTGCTGTCCTCGAAAAGTAATTGAAGACATCGTTAAAATAGTCCAAGTGACTACAGGGGCTCAATCTTAAGTTTATCAAACGACGAGAACACTTTTGTGCGCAAAAAAACAACAAAAATAACGACTTTATTTCAAGTATTCGTTTATTTCTCCCTCTGCGCGAGTCAGGTTACTAGTTTAATAGCGTAAGCTTCTGTTATTGTACGTCACACGCATCACACACACATGACCAGCGTCGACCAATAGTGAGCCTACGTGTGACGTAGCTCTACGCAATCACACTACGTTAACGGACTATAGGCTTATGGAGAAGGAAGTGAATAGTTGAAATAAAGTCGTTATTTTTGTTGTTTTTTTGCGCACAAAAGTGTTCTCGTCGTTTGATAAACTTAAGATTGAGCCCCTGTAGTCACTTGGACTATTTTAACGATGTCTTTTATGACTTTTCGGGGACGGCAAGAGCCAGTCCCTCAAGAAGCCTATGGACTGTATGCAGGAGCGATTTTAATATCTTAAATATCTTAATTCGTTTTCCGAAGATGAACGAAGGTCTTACGGGGTTGGAACAACATGAGGGTGAGTAAATACTGACAGAATTTTCATTTTTGGGTGAACTAACCCTTTAACCTTTCAGTTACAAGTTTTTAGATCAGTGCCTCTTACCTCTGTCACACACTCATTTAGTTATTGATTTAAACTTGGTGACAGCATGGACAGCCCATTCTCACTCCCAAGGCGTCACCTAACTGACGCCTTGGGAAGCATTTGACCATGCTTCAATATCTGACGCTTTAGGCGCCCTTTAGCGTCAGTTAGATGACGCCCTGGATCGCGTGTACCCTACCCCCACCCCAGACCTAAACCTAAAACGTCGCCTAAAACGTCACATATTGAAGCATGGTCAAAGGTGACGCCTTGGGGTGAGAATGTGTTGGCATGGAACCATTGAACCAAATGAGAACGTTTCTAAATGTTGCTATACTCAAAGGCAATATATATGTCAAGGTTTTGGGTAAAAAATAAAAATGGGTTTCTCTTGATCAGTGGCGTGCAGTGGTGTTCTGAAATGAGGCGGCAAAAACCTCACATTTTATTTTTATTTTTTTTTCATTTTATGTAAATTCATGTTCCAGTTACACTTAATGCTGATGCTTTGTTCATCATTACTTATGCTATCAAGAAAATAACAGAGGTATTGGAACTTTAACTGTTTAAATAAGTTATTTAAAATGGTAAAAATATGTCACAATATTACATTTTTATTTATTTATTAAATAAACGCAACTTTGGTGCGTATAAGTCTTCTTTCAGAAAGATTTAAAAATATTACCAACCCCAAACTTTTGAACAGGAAAAGATTATTAATCTTTGTTCATGTTAATATTTACATTTAAAGTTGTATTAATTCAATGTTTTAAACTAAAATCATTTATTATGAAAGTAACATAAATTAACAAATGTATTAATTAATATTAACCTGTATTGAAACATGCTTTAAAATGCTTTTCTTTTTAGTTTATCTTGACCACACCTCCTGTAACCAAATATATATATATATATATATATATATATATACACACAAAGAACTGTAAATAGCACTAAGACAGTAAGATATGTGCTATGTAAATCTTAAACTTAAATAATTCACTGCAGCCTAGTAGCCAGTCTGAAGGGACTGCTCCATAATAGATGGTGCTACAGTGGTGAGCTCAGCTTGAATCTGCACTCTTAAGTAAACAGACTTTTAAAAAAATGACCTCTTTAAATGAATTATGGAAGTTACCTTTAAGTTATTAAAGTTAAAGCTCTTTAGCTGAAAAATACATGACAGAAAGCCACAAACCTATATTGACAACTGACATTTACTTTATCTCATTAGCCAACTTAGCGTTACATATTTCCTGATATCATTAGCATGGCAAAAAAAAAAAAAAAAACGATTTTGAACGAGTGCTTGGCTGACTGTTTCAGAGGACATCTGGGAAGGGGTGAAAATCATTAGCTATACTGCTAGAGCTTGGCTAGCTGTAATTGCCTCGTCTCAGAATAGCATCAAATGAACACATTCTGAAAAGGGGGTTTAATGCATCACTCAGTTAACTCAGTAAACATCTGACTCGTATAAAAGTTTTGCCTGTCAGATGGGATATGCTTTATAGATTAGAACTGTTTAGGGCTTCCTGCACTTTGCAAGCTTGTTAAAGAAATTATGCAACCAGATAATATACAGTCTGGTAAGCAAACATTTATGACTTCAGTAACTGGTGAGCATTTCCTAAAGGCCTCAGGGATGGGCATTTTTCGAAAATATTGCATTCGAATATTCGGGCTCATAAAAACCGAATATTTGAATATTAGTTTATTTAAAGGTGCTATATGTATTTTTTAGTGGCCTCTATTGGTGATGTTTCAGATTGCAACCAATTTTTACAAGAGCGAGCACTCATGGTACAAGGCCACACTGAGACTTTCAACACACCAGAGAAAGCATCATACAACATGCTGTAAACTCATGTAAACTCCCACTGCAACGTTACAATAGGCTACTTTTATTAGCTTGACGTTGAACTAATGCTCCATGCTCGTACCATGACAACGTTACATCGACTGCATTTAGCCAGGCATGTAGTCTAGCATTAGCAGACCTGCAAACGTGTCACTTTTCGTCGAAAATCGCCGTTTTATTGGTCAATCGGGTAATTTACGTGAATCACGTAGAACCAGAGAGATTTTGTTTTTTGTTTTGTTTCCATAAATAAATTGGTTCTACGCCTTTATTATTAAAACTTATTTAAAAAATACAAGGTTTAAGACATTTATAAAAATGCCTTCTATATTTCTGTTTTGCTTTTCACTCCATCTTATCGAAATCGTACTAAACCGTGGTGTCTGAAGGGAACCGTGACATCTGCGTAACTTTCCACCTGTAGTATTGTCGTCATACTCTGAATTAGGTTAAGCTATGGTAATAGTGCTGCTCGGCTTGGGAGCCCGAATGCACACCTCATCCGATGGATTTCACAGAAAATACAACCAGGAGACTTCACGTAGAAATAGGAATACTGGCTTTCAGTGGTAATAGCAAAATCCAAGACAGGTGGATCATTGTAATGTGTGATTACAACCTCTTAACACACAGGCAATAAAAGAGGATTAATTTTAGTAGAAAAGTTAAATATAGCACCTTTAAATGGTGTTTAACGAAAAATACATTCGTTTTTAAGTTTAAGGGTTTTTAATTTTTTTTACGTTTTTGTCACCATTTATTTATTTCACCACATGCTCGAGTGAGAAAACATGCTGTGCTGACAGACATTGCAGAGACAAAGATAACGGTGTTCTAAGTGAAGTTTCTGACAGCTCTTTGTGATTTCATGTGATTTCTCATGGTGCTGATATTATAACTCAGATTCATTAATTAATTTTATTAAAAGTAATTCCCATTTTGTAAGATCATTTAGTAAGTTAATTTTCCTTTGAGTAGCCTAATTCCAAACTTCGCGAGGCAGACGACAACATTATGTGATCGAATCCAAACAACTTGTTAAACACGCTCCACAGCGCCACCCAGTGCATTTAATTATAATTGTGAGTTAGTGCTTTGGATTTATCATGGATCACTGCATTTACAATAAAGCAACTTATACAATTCGATTAGTATTTTATTTTCAAATAATAATTACAGATCGAATATTCATGTATATGTCTCAACATTTTTTGGAATATTGGTGCACATTCGAATATCCGTGCACACCCCATTCAACATTCATATTGCAATGGCTATAGTGAACAAGGTCACAATCTCAGTTTCAAAGTTTCTCCCTAATAGTCATTGTACGCTACATATCCAGTTATTTTTATTTGAGCATTAATCACTGGCTTAAATCAATCAGTTCCTTGTCTCAAATCATTAACATCACATTTCTGTCTTCTTCGATATCTCCCACTGTTTGTTTAAGAGCCTTTCATAAAAACTGCTTATCATTGTTTTTTTAGAGAAAGGTACTTGACCTACAATTAATTATGTATGATGCTGCTGCATAATGACTGGACTCAATAACAAGATATATTTCGTTGCACAATATCTACCAGGGCTTTCTGATAAAAACACAATATCTTATGTTAATGTTCACAATTACTGATAAGAAGGAACTTTGCTTCCCTCCTATAGCGGATATTAGTAGAACACTTTGCTTCTACTAATAATCTCATTGTCTAACCTAATAATGTTGGTTTGAGATCACATGTTGATGACTTAGTGCATCACAAAAGTGGCAAGGAAAAAAAGGATGTTTCAAATGCAAATGTGAACAAAAAAAAAAAAAAAACACAAGACAAAATTTGTTTTTGAGAACAAGAATGTTTTTGAGAACAAGAAAACACAAGACAAAATGTTTTAAGCACTTCCTCAACATCTTGTGGCAAAACAATAATAAAAGACAAGCTTGTGTCTTACCTTTCCATGTTTTCTGTAAGGCAGACTGGGCCTGGATAGCCATCCCCCCTGACAGAGAGAGGCCCCTGTGACAACCCTGGGCGAGTTTTCCACGTCTCCATTAATCCAGTAACTGGAGAAATTAGATTCAACAAGGGGTTCGTCTGGTCTCTCAAATTGTGGCGTGAAAACGACATTGTTCCTTGCGCTCCGATCTGGTAATGAAATGAATGTCCACCTGAATTAACACCAACAATAGCCGACGTGGGCACATTATTATTCTCTTGGTAATAGCTGCCATCATTGGTTTCCTGTTTAATCCCCTTGGGCAGGCTATTGTTAGGAAACACACCAGGTTCATAGTTGCCATTAAGAGAAGAAACAGGAGGTCCCAAGATCCCAGAAAGACTATATTCGTCAATATTATCCCTCAAAGACAAGTATGTGGTCTCTGCAGAAGGAAAGCAGCCCAGAGAGTGTTGCGGCTCAACAAAATGGAGGTTCGAACAAGTTACCTCTCTGTTTGGCTCCGTCTTAATTTGAGTCACGAATGGAGAGTGTGGCATAGCGCTCTTGCTTCTGCCCAGGCACATGCTCCTGTAATCAGTCCCAGGTTCATTTTTGATGTATTTGGCCACTCCCATAGCATCCAATCCGATGTTAAATATTTCCCCATCCACGTTCTCTACCTTCGGAAACTCGAATCCCTTGAAGTCATGCTCTTGGCTCTCAGGGCTGTTGGCATCATTTTGCACTAGGCCCAATCCACTGGAAGGGCTAGAGACAGAGAATCCCCTTGATGAGTTCCTGGGACTGGACATGGCCATGCTGCCAACAGTGGGCGGACTGGAGATGGATGGTCTAATGTTACAGGTATTGCCTCCATTTGTTGTTGGACTTGAGACAGATGATCTCATATTGGTGTTACATGAAAGTGGTGACCTCACACTACCTATACTATGAGGGCTGGAAACCGGAGACTTCATAACACTGAGTGGACTAGCCAGTGGAGGTGACCCCACCATGCTGGATTTTGCAGGGCTACAGGTGTTGGGGCTGGTGTGGTGACCTTGGGTCAAGTTGGTGCTGGCAGAAGCCAACGACGGACAGTCAGAATCAAAGTAGGTGGGGCTGGTAGTGGACGACACCATGTTGTGTCCTGTAGGACTAGACATGGGGCCAGACCCATCAGTGCTGCAAGAAAGAACGGTGGTCATTGCAGAGGACACTGAGCCAGAGACTACAGCACAATCCTGAGGGCTATCATTGGTTTGTTGGGACCCAGGTGGGAATGAAGCTGGGGGAGCTTTCATCTTTGGGCTCCCAGTTGTTCTGGACTGGCTGTCTTCAATTGCTTTCCCACAAAGAGGAAACAGTTTCCCTGGGCTACCCTGCCTACCCACAGTACCATGTTGGGCAAAGCCAAAATCTGCCTCCCTGGCAGCATTCATGTACAAACCCATAGACTCAGCAACCGTTTTGGAGAGCTCCTTTGAATCTGTTTCTGACTTGCGGTTGTTGAAGGAGTTGTTGAAGGAGGGAAACTGTAATGGTTGATTCTGGTTAACTCTAAGCACTGTTGTCTGGGTAGTCTTAAAGTTGTTGTCCTTGCAGGCAGACGGCGCATTAGGGGCATTGCTCGAGTTTACAATATCCATGAGCACATCACTGTTTGTTAAACTCTCTTCTGCAGAACAGCAATACTCCATGGTGTTTGGCATCTGTGCCCATTTATTTTCTGGAGTTGCCCCTTCGGAGTAACTTTGGTATCTTTTAGTCTCCATACCTGGACCATTTGATAAACCTAATGGGCCAATAAATTGGAGATATTTAGACCTTGCAGTCAAAATGGCAATGTTTTGATTAGTACAAAGAAATCTTATTAGTTAGACTTTCAAACCAAATAGCACACAAAATCATTGTAGGTTTAGTTTGAATATTTTTGGGAAAATGCATTATAGACATCCTACAATAAATAAATCTTTGCATATTGTGATTACAAAGAAATGTATCTTTTATTTATAGGATTCACTGGGCTTTAAAAATATCAAATGGTACATTTTTCTTATTCATATTATTTTTTTCACCAAATACATTCATTGTTTTTGTTTTTCATAATCAATTTCTATCCTTGGATTTAAATGGTCCACTTTTTGCTTATTTGTAAAATTGCCCTCTTCTTCCTAAATGCGGGGGCCATGCTGTCTCCTTCAATCCATGGTCAACCCCAACCACAATCCCCAACCTGAAATGTTTTCTATTTGACAAATTTATTTTAGATTTCCCATGTGGTTTACTATGTTTTCACCACCACGCTGTGTGAATCCACAAAATGAGTAAATCTGTAAATTAACTAATGAAACTCTTTTAGCAGTGCTGGATCCTGGCACTGCCTCCGCAGACATCAGATGCAACGCTCTTCATTGGGCTGCACGATTTGGGCCAAAATGAAAATCACAATTATTTTGATCAATATTGAGATCACGATTAATTATTTGTTGATTTTAACCAAAACAAATTGTATTGTCACATAAGCTAATTAGGGCCCAAGCCCTGAAAGGGCGAAGGCCCTATTGTTTTCCTTGCGATTATTTTTCTTCTCTATTATTATTATAATAATTATTATTTTACTACCTTTTGGGCACTTTTGGGGCCCTTAACGTGCTCGAAAACTCTTGAAACTTTGCACACGGGTCAGAACCCGCGGCCATCAGAGCCGGGCTGAAGCTGGTACCTGGGCGTGGCAGGGGGGCTCGTCAGCGCCCCCTGGAACGGGGTCCGAACACTCGGTCCATAACTCAAACACGCTTGCATGTAATAATATGAAACTCGGTACACATGTTGATCTCATCGTTTCATCTATACCTCGCGCTCTTACTTTTTACCCCAGCCCAACAGGAAGTCGGCTATTGAGGTTTGTTTGTAAAACGCTCGCAATGGTATTTGAAATACTCCTCCTAGAGCTTTGATCCACATTCGACGAAACTCGGTCAGCGTGAAGTCAAGACATTGAGGATGAAAGTTTGCGAGGGGATTTTTGATATCTCGAACGGTTTGTCCGTGGCGAGGAAACGAAATCATGGCGAGAAACGTGAAACAGGAAGTGTGTTATAACTTCAGCATACATTAACTGATCTTGATGAAACTTCAGCAGTGTGCTCGCTGTAAGAGGACGATCACATGGATGTGACTATTGTGAGTAAAAGTTATAGCGCCACCAACTGGCAGCAGGAAGTGTGTCACTTTCAAAATGCTTTGAAATCACCCTTTTATTTTTACCCGATTTGCTTCAAACTTCATCTGTATAATGTAAACATACGGCAGATGTAGACCTGTGAATGGATTCTTGATATCTTTGAAACTGTTGCCGTGGCGACGCATCAAACTTTGCCCTTCTTTTAGGATGCTTTTAGGATGCTTTTGAGACCCTTAGCATGCTTCAAATTGCATGAAACTCGACAGACACATCACATTTATTAGCCAGTAGACATGTGCAAAGTTGCAGAAACGGGCGTGGTGAGGGCTCAGTAGCGCCACCTTTTGACAAAAGTGGGGTGGTTAGTTTTAACTAGAGTTACAAAAATTGGTATGTATATTGTACTCCTCGAGCCGGACAACTTTCTAATTGACACTTATTAGCTAGGACCCACAGAAACTCAGATATTTTTGTTTGAATATGGCCACTCTGAGCCTTTGGCTGGCTGGCTGGCTGTCTGTGTGTGTGTGTGTGTGCAGGGGGAGGGGGCTTAACCATTTCACTGCTGTGTGTATGACCTGCATAAAGAAAATACATTTCTCAAGCCTGGTATTTTTTAAATAAGTTTTTATTTTTATTTTTTATAAGTAAAGGCATATAACTAGTTTAATTGTAGTGAATTGACAATAGTTTTATATAATTAGTTTATTAATCAGATTAACTTGGTCAATAAACTTGGTCTGAAAATTTGGTCCATAAATCAAACACACTTGCATGTAATAATATGAAACTTGGTACACATATAGATCTCATCGTTTCATATATACTTCACACTCTTACTTTTTACCCCAGCCCAACAGGAAGTTGGCTATTTAGGGTTGTGTTTAAAACACATGCAATGTAATTTAAATTATTGCTCCTAGAGCACTGAACCAAATTCGACGAAACTCGATCAGCGTGAAGTCAAGACATTAAGGATGAAAAAGTGCCACGGGATTTTTGATATCTCGAACGGTTTGGCCGTGGCGAGGAAACGAAATTATGGCGAGAAACATGGAACAGGATGTGTGTTATAACTTCAGCATACATTAACTGATCTTGACGAAACTTCAGCAGTGTTTTCGCTGTAAGAGACCGATCACATGGATGTGACTATTGTGAGTCAAAGTTATAGCGCCACCAACTGGCAGCAGGAAGTGTGTCACTTTCAAAATGCCGTGGCAACGAAACAAACTTTAACATTATTTTTTGATGCTTTTGGGACTCTTAGCTTGCTTGAAATTGCTTGAAACTCAACAGATACATCACATTTATTAGCCAATAGACATGTGCAACTATGGCAAAAGATTAAAGTAATGTCAAAAAAGTAAACACTAAAAGCCTCATATCTTCTAAAAATGTAATTATACATCATTTGTTTCTAAATTAAATTATACAAATATTATAACTTCCCCAATTTTTCCTTTTTTTCATTTAAGAATTGTGTTTACGTTCAAAAACAGCCAGAATTGTTGTAAAATTCATAAAAAAATAATAATCTGAGTCATACGTAGTGCTATACTGCCCTCTTGTGTTCAATATCAGGTAGGCCTATTGTGTATATTCCCACCGGTTAATCAACGTGTGACTCCGCTGGGACTTGGGAGCTTTTAAATCGCTTACTTAAAACCGAAAGTCAAAATACGGATGTCCGCACAAGACATTAATGGTGTGGAGTAGAGCGAGCATTTTAAATAAATTCCTATTAAGTAGGATTGAACTAAACAGAAAGAATGTTCACTCTGTTCTGCTGGTTCCTCGCTGGTGGATCATATGATTACTTTGTCATAATCTATGACAAAAATGCTATTATAAACCATATTAATAATAGATAATACACATTGCTCTTATTTTTGAAAAATACATTCATGAAAAACAAGATAACAAAAATCATTAAAAAAAATATAGCCATGGCTGCTATAAAGCAACATATAATTGAAAGGCAATTAATAATCTGTCATTACGTCACTGCATTATGATATTACGGCTCCAATACGGTGCAGCACAAAGCACTTATGTGCATCCCGAGCGGAGAATGATGTGCTTGAAGCCACATGAAGTTACAGCGCATTGAGTCCGTATTGAAAAGTTCAAAGCACAAAGGAAATACATATTTATGAACAGTGTATTATACATTATCTATCTATGCAATAGTTTATTGAGCCTTTTCTTTTAAAGGTTTTAAATTTCAGTTACTGTGTGCGTGAAGAACAATTATAGTGCTCTGACTCTAGTGTTGTGATCTAACCGACAGCGTCCGACACCCGGTAGAAAGTAACACGATTAAGTTACAGCAATAAAGTCCAGCAAGAAAAAGTTTCTTCATTCGAAAATATAGACCTTTAGACCTTTATCTTAAAGATCCAGTATAATAGGATTAACATTGAATCATTGAAGATCGTTTCATCATTGACTGTAACCGAATGTGACGTGCTGTTTGAATGCTGAATGGAGAATGACTGACAGGCGCAGAGAGGGAAAAGTTTGTGTTCTTGAATTTAATGACTTAAATATTAATTTCTATATCACATAATAGCTTCAGAACACTAATAATACAGTACACAAAAACTTTATGGTACTTTAGAAAGTTTTTGTGCCTTTGTGCCTAACAGAATAGTATATGCACAATATAGAATTTGAATCAGCCTCGTCAAAGATGGCAGTGTCAGAGCCGATACCGATCCTGAGTATCTAATCGGCGCACTTCTTTTCAACAGTCAAATTGAAATTGAAATTGCTTGAAACTCAACAGATACATCACATTTATTAGCCAGTAGACGTGCAAAGTTTCAGAAACGGGCAATGTGCAAGGACTAAATAGCGCCACCTTTTGACAAAAGTGGGGTTGTTAGTTTTATCTACAGTTACAAAAATCGGTATATACATTGTACTCCTCAAGCCGGACAACTTTCTAATACATAGTCATTAGCTCGGACCAAGAGGAAGTCAGATATTTTGGTTTGAATATGGTGAGCCTCTCTCTGAGCCTACGTCCCTGTATGGCAAGCCCTTTTAACATTTAAAAGCTAAGTTTGCCTGTCCGGAATTAACATTGTAGATATCAACAACGTCTTTCTGTCTATTCGTAATTACATTTTGGATAGTTTTTATTATCATTTAAGACATCTGTAACATAATTGTGACTAGTCGAAATGACAGAGTATGGCAAGCCGTTTTAACATTTAATCATAAAAGGGCCAAAGCCTTCGGCACCGCTACCCGGGTGCCTTTAGGTAACTAAAGGAACCGGGGTTGCGGTGCCACCGGCTTGGGCCCGCCATCGCTGCTCGCAGCTATATTTATAACTGCTTTCACATCCACATTGTGCTATTCCTGCTAATTTACAATTATGTGAATCAAAATAAAATAGATCCTCTTATTGGCCAAATTTCAGTGCATCTCCTTAAGGAATAAATAAAAATAAATAAAACAATAAAGAAAATGCAGCAAAACTTCAACAGGGCCCTATTTTACATTTTACATTGCGTAAATATATTTTAGGAAGCAAAATATAAACTTGCATTGTACCTGCATAATGGACGTGAATAAAACACGCAAAATATACAATCAATAAAAAAACATTAAAAAAAAAACATTCCATAACAGAATATTACCAAATGAGAACATGTCAAGGCAGAACTATCCACTATGGAAGTTTGATTAATGGATGAAATTCAGATTTGACGATAAAGAAATGTTGTGTACAGTGTCAGTGATTAGTTGTGAAGTCTTATTGCATAAATTTAATCTATTTAGTCCTCCATATGGAAGTTCATGTGCTCAAATTATTTCTATTTATTAAACAATAGTTCAAAACAAGACGTTTGTAGTACTGATTATTGGAGTCCATTAATCTAACTTTCATGCCTCTTACATAGTAATTATATTACTATGTAGTATTTGCCAATTTATTAATGTAATTTACTAATACTCACACTCGGTCTCTCACGCGCACTGTCACTCTGCCTGTCTCTCTCGCACGCAGACACTCGCTATCTCTCGTGCACTTTCGAGCACGCAGACACACTGGGTCTCTCTCGCGCAGGTGCGAGATAGCACAAAGCACACATACATCACAGAGACGTCTATTTGATGTGCATGTTTACATCTGGAAGGCGTATTTTTTAGAGTGTTTGCTCATCTGCAATACATCTATAGGACGTTTCCTGTCAAATGTCAAATAGATATTTAGATGTCTTAAAGATGTAATAGTTTAGAATGCATGTTAAACTGACATCTTACAGATGTCTATCATTTGTTAGTAAACAGAAGATGATTTCCAGATGAAGTGATCTTTAACAGACATCTTGCAGACATACGTGTGCTATCTGTTGGGGATCATGGAGTCACGTGATCAGACAGTGGTTTACGGAGCGCTAGATTGGCTTTGCAAAAAAACAAACAAAAAAACAACTTTGATACGGAGCATTCTGTGGGAATAACAGAATGACACATTTTAAATATCGCTTGATCGCACGAATTTGATCGTGTGAAGCCAACATCGTTATTCTGATTAAAATTCAATTAATCGTGCAGCCCTACAAGGTAGCTTCATGGGATTCACTCACCCATCTCATTGAATATGAATTGTGACCACTTAGCATGTAGCCTAACTTTTCTCAGCAACCCTCTGTGCTTTACTTTGCTGCCCCCTCTAACTTCAGCTGCTATCAGTCTGCACCTTAAAAGGTCATTTACCTGCTAAAAGGAGGGATGTAAGAGGGATGATGATATCAACATAAAGATCAGGTCAAATTAATAAAAATGTTACTCCACAAATTCTTTGTTTCTGAATTGTATTATTATTATTATTTGTTTATTCATGTCTAGAAAAGTAGAATGGTATAAAAATTATTTATCTTCATTATATTATACATTCGGTATGTTTTAAAAACAAAGAGACTCATTTTGTCACTCAGGTGTTAACGATAGGCCTACAACACAAGTACATTTTAGCAGTGTTACATTTAGTTGGTGAAATGACAAATGTTTGCACTTTCTGAAATTCCAAATGCACCCTTAAGTAATCTGTCTGGGTGGTGGCATCCTAAACATACCTCCAAAAAAAAGCAATAGTGGACTGAGACAGTGTGAATGCAAAAAATAACTGGTTTGAATCTAAAAACAAGCAACAATAGCTGTCAAGACACATGTAATGTCCCCTAACACATGTAATGAGTTGTTTTAGATTAAATAAATGAATGAATAAATAAATTAAAATGGTGTGCACAAAATTTTCAACAAAAAAAGTTAATTTCCCATCCTGTTACACAGCACAAAGAGGAGAAAGCCGAGCCGACCGCTGCGAGTTTAAACAGTCATTCATGTACAGTAGGCCTACTAGGCTTAGTTCACCATTAAGTCAGAACAAGTAGCCTTAGCTCTTCTCTAGCGAGATGCAGTTACTTTAATCGCACTTTTAAAAGCAATGTCAAATGGTAATGACAATGTTGCTTTAAACGTTTGACGTAGTTCTTTGTTTATGTTTTGTTCCCCCTCCCTATCGTCTTTCTTCCCACGATACCGTGCTCAAGCGGACAACCATTGGACAGAAGCAGACACACTGTCGCCAAGAGTTTATCACCCCACTCACGGATTGGTCCCGTCGCTCTGTCAGTCTTTATATTTATGAGCTTTGTCTCCACAAAACTGCTGCGACATTCTTTGTAGAATTTAATTTACGAACTTTGCTCTATGTGTAGCCTATAAAAACTTTACGTGTTAGTTCGGACGCGTCATAATTCATGCTGCGTTGCAAAGCTTATAGCGACCTCCAGAATGATGCGTGTGACGCAGTTGATTCTTTTGCAAAATAACTCCTGATTAAATATCGTTGCGATGCACTTTATTCATCAAATGACGTCACGTGAATCAATCATGCTTAAGTATTATTATTGTTTGCGTGCATTTTCACAAGAATACATTTTACTCGCCGCAGTTCTCACTGTCTAACCAGACAGAACATCACTGGCAATTATTGTGCCCCTTCTGACTTCAGTTTCGCTCAACTCTGTGTACTTTACTACACGCCTACAGTTATAAGATGATGTTAACGTGAAAGGAAATGAATCATATGAAGAACTTGTCGACGGAGCGAAAGAGACCATGATGAGCTTTGATATAACAAGCAATAACGTATTTTCTATTGGCTATGGCTTGATTTCATATGTGATATTGCGTTAGCTTAAACGAAACTGATGAAAAAGTATTCACTTGCATAAATAAAGTCGGCTGTGAATTTAGTTTAGCCGAGAAAACGTCAAACATTTGATGCAAAGGATATGTACAGGTTACATTGATAAGTGCATAATTGTTATTTATATGTTTATTTTCACCTCATGCACAGCACAGAGATCCTGTCAAGTTAAACATCAAGTTTTAGACAAGTTTTAGACAAACGCGTCTGCATTTGCAGTAGTTGGGCTACATAAAGTACTGGTTTGTTCTTCATTGAGCTATAATATTAAGACATCTTACCGTAGTTATAACATCCAATTTTGACAGTTATCTTTTCTGCTGGCCACAAGTAATCCAATGGACAAAACTGAGAAAATGGCACTAAACAGTGCCGTTAAGTTGTGTTTAGAAGTATTCCCAGTGTTGCGACTGCTTGCATACTAGTTCCAGTTGTGACAGCTGAACGCACCGCACACTGCCGCGCGCATGACGCGAGATCCTTAACGACAGCGCACTGCACGCGTACAACGGTCGACAGCGACTTCACCGAAACGTCCTGTCGACAGTTTTCTGTTTACGTGCACATTGCTGCTAGATTGTTGAAGGCGCCCAACTGAAGACTAATAAAAACAGCGGAGGACTCAGACAGACTTGCGTAGCGACGTGATTGTGTGCACATGGACCCTCCTACTGCAATGAGAGCTCGAGTAGGAGGGGGCGATGAATGCGCTCAGGTATATACGGCTCTTGGTCCAGAAGTAGGGCAAGGTAGTTTGATTGCGCAGGCGCTAACCTGTGCATCTAGGACAAATGGATGATGTGCAAACATTTAAGTGCATTGCTTAATGTTATTCAGTGGTAGCCTATATCATTTAATATAATCTAATTAATCAATTTACTGCAATCCCAGACTTATAGACTTTAGATAACTTTTGTTTTTTGTTTGATTTGTTTTTTCATGTTGCAGAATTAAGGGGAAAAAATGTTTGTGTAGGCTACAGATTTAAAGAAGTGGCGATAAGTGCGAATGTTTTAATCATCATGTCATCCTCCATCCTTGTTTTTATTCAAAAAGATTTTTAATAAATTCAAATATTTAAAATAGGTACATTTCATATTCTTTTTAGTCCTCTAATTTTGAAAGCACTTGAAAACTACTGGATAAAGTCTTTTGAGACTGTCCTTTGGAAGTGGTGTGTGTGAATTTCAGGCTTGAGATGAACGCATAGGAAACACCATCTAATCAGCTTAATGTGCAGTCACTGACTTTTTAACAGGCCTGGGGAAAATCTGTATCTGTACTAATTAAGCAGTACATTCATATAAAATAACATTTATATAGGTCCTCATTTCTACCAAGCATTGATTTAACATAAAGTCTCCTTTTAAAAAGACCTACCACAAGGTGGTGCAGTTTTTGTGATTTGTTAGAATTTGTTGACATAGAAATGCTCTGTAGTAACCCTGTGCTTATGTAATACTGATGAAGGGGAGATAATTTCAGTTATATTCAATACGTGTAGTATGTAATATACAGTTACAGCAATATGTGTATAATTACAGTCCTTCTTATTCCTGTCAATATATGACAATTACATTCTAGCCTCAATAGCATGGCATTGTGTTTATCTTATTATGTTGAATAAACTCTGGCTTCATCCTTCTTATTTCCAAGTCAATAGTGGAGACGATTTATGTCAAGCAGAGATTTGCGACCTTTGAGGCTATAATGTTACCAAACCTCCTGCAGTGCTCAACTTGTAATCTTACATGGTCAAGCACTTGTTTTAAAAAGCTGAGAATTTTTCCTCTATTAAGGATTAAACATAGCAAAGTTTTCTAGAACCATCAGCTCATAGACTTTTCCGGAGAGTGATTATTATTAGTCACATGTAATATGTTATTAAGTCAAACTGTCAGATCTGTTTGGTTAGATCATAGGGCACATACTTGCAAAGTAAGTATGCTTATTTTTTGATTCACAGATCTGTAGAGTAACAAAAAAGCAGTAATTGATCAGCTAAATATTATATTGAATACATTTCTTATTACTAATATTTTCCTATAATGAAAGCAATCATTCATGATCAAAATAATAGCGTTGCCACAATGTTCCATTTATACTATTAATTCAACAACAGCTTCAGCTGATGTACAAATTAAGTGCTGGGTAGGCCTAGATCCCACAATGTGACATGGCTTACAGCGGGATCATGTTGTTCACACAGTCTGACGAGCAGCAGTCGTAAAAACTATTATAAATCTTTAGATTTCTTTGTCACTATTTGTTCTAGTCATACATTAGTTGTCATGGTTTATTACTAGTTCTCACCTGTTTCCTGTTCTGTTTATTGCCACCTTCATAAACCCAATATGGGATTATCACGCTTCCGGGTTTCATGGGCGGGATTTGTCAACTTTGTGCATGTCCACTTCCGACGCAGTTGAGGAATGCTATTTATGTCACTTCTCTGTTCCACTTTGTAAATCTAACCAACCAGCCCATTCTCACCCCCAAGGCGTCACCCAACTGACGCCTTGGGAAGCATTTGACCATACTTCAATATCTGACGCTTTAGGCACCCTTTAGTGTCACTTAGATGACGCCCTAGGATCGCGTGTACCCTACCCCCACCCCATACCTAAACCTAGCCGCGTCCTCTAACTGACGCTTTCCTTTAGCGTCAGTCAGATGACGCCGTAGGATCGTGTCATGTAAGTGACGCTAAAGGGCGCCTAAAACGTCAAATATTGAAGCATGGTCAAAGGTGACGCCTTGGGGTGAGAATGTGTTGAACCAACAACGCCAACCCTACTTAAGTTTTCATGGATTCCCGACTGAATTGAGTATAAGGAAGAAGTGGATTAAAACTTTAAAATAAAACAAGGTAGCACGTTTGTTTGCAGCCGGCACTTTAGTGAATCAGACTAATTTACCAGGGATGCCGTATAAATAAACTTAGTGTAGTCCTTCATCAGTTCGCCAGCGAGATCGGTGATTCAACGGAAGTGGCAGTGCACAAAGATCACAGAATACGGAAGTACTACGTATCGGCGTGATAATCCCCTATATTCAGTTCATTGTTTTGTATTAGCGTTACGTTGTGATGTGTACTGTATGCTAGTGCACTTTGTGTTTATTAAATGTCTGTTATTGTCGTTCATTCAACGTAATGCATCTCTCAACTTATTTTTTATTTTAACGTTATTTCTTATTTATCCACACGTAACCCCTGACATGGCATGCATCTGATAAATTATACATTCAGAAAAGTTGTGAAAGTTTACTGCACCAATGGAGCCCCGAACTTCACATACTTTTGAAAATCCAGCGTTTAGTTGATCCTGGTTAGCATTAACTATCACAGTTTTAAACAACTTTTATTTTTCTTCCACGAGGGGTTTTGACAACAAAACATTTGTTTCCAGGTGGACCGATAAAGAACGCGACACACACATCTCTCGGACATCCTATAGAATTCAACCAATTAGATTGCGACTTTGAAACTCCTGAAGTGTTTTCAAAAAAGTGTGCCATATGCATCAGATGTTCACCCAATGGTCCGTGGGCGTGACGTCTGAAGCTGAGACTATCACAAGATAAGTCCAGCTCCAAGTCTCCTTCGTTGTGAAATGGTCCCGGCCTCCCTCTCCCTCCTCCACTGGCAAAGCCATACAGTTCCTCTGCCTTGTCTTCGCTGTCTCCCTTCAGTCCCTTGGCTCCTCCAGTGGGGTTTGGGCATCAGCTCTGCCTTGACCTTTGGATCCCTCAGCTTCACCTCAAGCCTCCATCACACAGTTTACACAACATAATCTTCAACTGAAAACGGAAAACATTTTATGAGCTTTGGCTTATCATTTACACAACATGTAACATGTAATCATGTGATAAAAGGTAACTGTAGTCTGATTGTAGTCTGATATATATATATATATATATATATATATATATATATATATGAAGAGTTCAGATGCAAAAGCCTCTAAGTGCCATTTGAAATTTTCTTTTTTTCATTTTTATCAAGCTTATATATTTAAGTTCAGTAATTTCACTTAAATGACAATGAAGATTACCTATGAATTGCCATTTAAGTGAAATTACTGAACTTAAATATACAAGCTTGATAAAAATGTTCATTCTAGAAGAAAATTTCAAATGGCACGTTGAGGCTTTTGCATCTGAACTCTTCATATATATATATGGATTGTGTAGCTTTTTGCATAACAAGAAAAAGTGCACACATTGACCCAAAATTTCACGTTATGTGAATATATGAGAGGAAGATAAAACTACCCATACCTTGCTTTATTTCTCCTGCCAGTATACACACTTTTAAACATAGATAGTTAACTATAGCCATAGGCAGAAGACATGGCCTTGAACGTTAATACATCTGCCTGCAAAACCTAAAATAATTGTTCTTAAATGTTTTATAACTTTTGAACCGCAAATCCAAGTATGCTTTAAAAATTAATTTAAAGAGGAGATGCACGGCTTTAATTGTGCTATCACGTTTTTTTTTCCCCTCGCTTTTGGACATTCAGAGTAATGAATGTGATTGTGTCATCAAGTTTTGATCAGCATTAATTCGTCAAAGAAACCCAAATACTTCTTATAGAGGTTGTGAAAATCATTTGCACTGTTTGTATTTTTGTTGGACAAGACAATGTTAATAATTGTTTACTACTTGCTGCACTATTTGTGTTTGTTCATGTTCAGATTGAACACACACACATAGCCTCTCAGAAGTAACTTTTGCCTCAGTGTTCTATTATTATTACAATGTTTCCTTTTTTTTTTTTGGACACATCTATATTGACATTAATTTAAAAAAACACCTTCTTTTTTACAGAATATTGCCTATGATAATGTTGTAATAAATGGCAACTTGCTTAGGGATTGTTACCTGTAGACAAAATGTCATCTGGAAATATAAAATATCCAAGTAAAAATTTCTAAAGTAAAAAAAAAATTGAGTAAAAAAGAAAAAAAAGGGAGAAATACTGCTGTTTTTCTTAAATCTGATATATTTATCCATTCTAAGATGAAATAAATGTAGCTAAAATTGGGAATTTAAATGAGGTAGATTGAAACCAAGTTCTCCTGTTTACAATGATATATGGCACATGATGCTGACTGCTATAATGGGTTAGAAAAACAAAGAAAAGAACTGGCGAGTCAGGTGCTGCAAAATGTTATAGGTCTATAAGGTGTCTATAAGGTCTATAAAGTAGATAAGTACATTTGAAGCAGCCCTTTTTACTCTTAATAAAGAAGCCTGAAACTTAAATTTTATCAAATATTCATTAATAATTTTTGTTAAGGTAAATACATGCATTCTATCTATTTTGAGTGACAGTTGGTTTAATCTTGACAGGACCTGCTTAATTTGAAAAATCAACAAATAAAGAATGTAGAGGAATGTCAGTGCATGCCTGCTTTTGTTCTTGGTGAACACCAAGCTCCAATGATGTCACTTCCGCTATGTGATATCATTTAAAGCAACAGTACATTATTAGGCTTGTTTGAGATGAGCAAAATCTGCGCAGAACCAAACACCGGTGAGCAGCGCGAGATGCACACCGGTTAGAAATGTGTCCGAGTGCGGTTCGCCTGGCTCTGATGTCATGCCGACATATGTCAAAAAACTCTCGCGAGCGCAAGGCGCACCTGTCAGATTCTGCAGTCGCGCGCAGTTGTTCTCCACCCACTGCGCT